GGTCGGCTTTCCGTAAGAACCAGCGTTTGCTAGCTCAAATGGAATGGTTCAGTATAGTATATACTGCATGCCTCTCAAAAGCATGGAAAGCAGCCGCTACAAAGCACAAGTTCCAAAGCACCAAGAGTTTTTCTGTTTGAGGGACGTTCTGTCAACCGCGCTGCAGCAGGAAGTTGATGATGAAACATCGTGGATTCTTAAGTAACCATCAACCTAAACCGAGTTGCAACTCAGTTTAACCCTAAAACCCAAAGACACGTGAATCCCGACTCACAATGCATGGGAATTCCTTTTGAAGCTGCCAGGCTGCACGATGATTGTGTCGGCAACACTCGTGGAGAGCAGTGGGATGGTGCAAAGAGTTTGGAGGAGTAGGTACCAAAGATCCAAAGACCTGTCTGCCAGGGTAATGCAAAAATCACACGCGTGGAGAAAGGATCCCTAGGCATTCAACACAATGTTGTAACGAGGTGTAACGAGGTGCAGCACACACATATTACAATCATATATATGTATAGCATGACTGAGCACAGCGACAGCAAAAGCATGGCTTCGCCTAGGTGCAAGGGCTTTGCAAACAAAAAACCTAGAACAAGAAAGGACGCCTAGAACAAGGGCGTACAGCTGCAGAGAAAAATACATCCTTGCTCATTCTGCCCTGAAGAACACTGTTCAACTCCGCACCCTGGAGTCACCAGCTGCTGCCAGGAGCAAAGAACCAGTACCACCGCATAGGCCTCGAGACGTCTCGAAGCGAGCCAGCGGACCTTTCGTGAGGAACGGTAACATGTATAACTACACCTCATGGGACCATGAGACAGAACTAGCATGAAATAGCTACATTTCAATACATTTCACGATTTAAAGCCCTTCTTCAATCCAATTGGTCGGATACATCTGGTCAATTGGGTCAAAAAGATGTTTCACGATTTGTTCACGATCAAAATGCCATGGCGAGCTCGAGGTTTCTGAAGCATCTGGCATCATCTGGCCAAAATTGCAATCTCTGGTTTTCAAGGCCGAGGATTATCAACGTTGTGGCGGATCATCTTGGAACTCGATCCCCTTCAATCAAATCGAAGGTGTCATGCTTTCGGTCCGGACATGTGGGGGCATAGTTTTCACGCCTAGTTGCAGGGGTTCTCGGGGGTTCTCGAATATCGACGATCTACAGAGATTCACCCTGGGAAGGATATGCAAGGAGTGACCCAATGTTTGAGGCTTAAGGAGGATTGAACTTTAAACCCACACTTCACACAAAGCCAACAAAACTCAAACAACACAGAAACACCACCACCGGCTGGTCATGTCATCTACATGCTCTATCAGCCGATCAATGTAGGTCATGATGTCCGTGGCCCACCGTTGTTGCATGGTGTGCTCAATATGACTGGACGATGATTTGGACTTCTCGGAGGCCATGTCACAATGACATTTGCCAGGTCCATTGAAGGTTGAAGGTTATGAGAAGTTCTCATCCAGAAGTGCCATTCAATGACCAGCATGCGCAAGAATAGAGCAACCAACATCACCTGCACATATAGTGACACAAACTGGATCAGCATGAGCCCATATTTGTACAGCAAATAGTTAATACGTACTTAGTTTCAATGCACATGAAAGAGGACCAAGTTGCATCTGGACTGCTGATTCTTGACTCAAACACATTGTCTCGCAATGTGTTAAGTGGATGATGTGCCGCATGTGTCTTCAACATAGCTGTCGACTAAACACGTGTGGCATTGGTGCCCCCCAAATCTCAAATCATTCCCATGGCATGACAAAAACGGTATTGATTTTGAATACCTAGGGAGCCATGGGAAAGTTCACCCAAAACAGGATCCAACTCTTGGATTTCCAGGATGAGCAAACTTAGCAGAAAACAAAGGCTATACGATACTCTTCCGTGCCTGAGCGCTGGAACGCAGCACTTTGCAAAGCATGCTCTCGAAAAAGCGCGTGACACGCAGCTCGGTCTTCTGCCACTCCTCGTTACGTCCATCTGATTTCAGTCTCAAAGCCGGAAAGAAGTGGAGACCAGGCCGGAAAGGGTTCCCATATGTTCGCATGTTTCTGTAGCTTCAGAGTGTGACATGAAGCATGTTCTTGAAGATCAGTGTGGTCGGGATTCCAAACAGGTCCTGGAACTGCACAATGCTGCGCAGTTCCAGTTGCTGTGGGTAAAATAGCCTACTGCAGATTACAACCCAAACTGGCATGAAACATCTAGAGAAACCACACCAAACTACTCTTGGTGGAGCAAACCCGTGGATAAAACCCGCAAATAGGTCTAAAGAGATCCTATTCGAGCCTTTCCACCATAAAACAGCATACTTCTTTGAAGGGACGATGATTTTCAGACCCAAAGCACCTATAAAACTGGAATATAATAATGAAGACTCTTGATTAATAAACCCCCCATATGAAGAGGATGTTCAATTCAAATTGCGGGGGTTTGTCATCAAGAGTCTACGTTATGTATACAACACACACATTGACACACATGTCACATATATATATATATACACATTGACCTCTTGAGTTTCAACCACCCACTGATCGGTCCAATTTGCCATACGTCCACCCGACCGTCTGTTCCGTCTCGGCACACCCGGGGGTCTCACCGTCTCGACGTGGACACGAAGCGAACGGCTCCTGGAAGTTGCTCTGAAACTGCCGGAAACTACTGCAAAGACATAACCAAGTGGTCCTGCCACTGTGAATGAACAGGTGAATGAACTGTGAATGAGGGGGAGTGACTACTCTGTCTGGGCATCTCTACAGATAAACTATAAGCCAATAGATATCTGACATAGGTTGGCAGCGGGATGAAGCAAATGAAAAGACCTTTCGAGCACTTGCACCATGATGGACTGACATCATCTGGAGTCTAGAAGGAAATCTCCGAGCTACTAACCATGATTCTCTTTGGCGGTGTGCTCTATTTCAGGTCTAGAACATCAAACATCCCGTGATCCCGTGGTACAAACAAGCTGAACTTCACGCTTGGGAATCCCCTTTTGTCTGGAGTCTGCTCATTTGCCCAAACAGACTCGCTGCATTGTCCACTCTGTTGAGGATTTAAGACACCCAAAACGTGGGTCATCAGGAACCTGCAACCATCCGAACCGATCCCAAATGCCCAAATGAATACATGCGAAAGGAAAACATGCGACTAAAATTGTATTGTTTGCGCAGGCAGGTGACTTTGCCTTTTTAATGCGCGTTGTATGGAGCTTCTTCCCATTCTTGTTCTAGATGTGAAAAAAACATGACTGGCAAACTGACTCACTCAGTCACCATCTGTTGATGTTGACAAAAAGTATTGTCTGTATCTGTGTAGTATAGTAGGCTAGAATGTACACATCATATAATATATATATATATGTATACAGTATATATATATATGGGAGACACATCCAAAAAGATCATGCATATACATATACAAAAAGATCATGCATATACAT